CCAACACTTCTCCCTCACTACAACACTTCTCCCTCACTACACCAACACTTCTCCCTCGTTACACCAGCACTCCCTCGCTACACCAACACTTCTCCCTCGCTACACCAACACTTCTCCCTCACTACACCAACACTTCTCCCTCACTACACCAACACTTCTCCCTCGCTACACCAGCACTCCCTCGCTACACCAACACTTCTCCCTCACTACACCAACACTTCTCCCTCGTTACACCAGCACCTCCCTCGCTACACAACATTCTCCCTCGCTACACCAACACTTCTCCCTCGCTACACCAACACTTCTCCCTCACTACACCAACACTTCTCCCTCGCTACACCAACACTTCTCCCTCACTACACCAACACTTCTTCCTCACTACACCAACACTTCTTCCTCACTACACCAACACTTCTCCCTCGCTACACCAGCACTCCCTCTCTACACCAACACTTCTCCCTCGCCTACGCCAACACTTCTCCTCACTGCACCAACATTTCTCCCTCGATATACCAACACTTCTCCCTCACTACACCAACACTTCTCCCTCGGTACACCAACACTTCTCCCTCGCTACACCAACACTTCTCTCTCACTACTCCAACACCTCTCTCACTACTCCAACACTTCTCCCTCACAACACCAACATTTCATCACTATACAAGTTAAGAATTAAAAAAAAATAACTTCTTAGTTTAATATACACGTATATATTAATCTAGGATAACCCAATAACAGACTTCTTTTCAATTATAATCATATTACTATAATCCTAACCAAGCGCTAAACCGTAAGGGTCCTACAGCTTTGCAGACATATGAATATATTCTCGTTTATATATTATTATAATCAAGGGAAGCGTAAACGTAGATTAACAGCGCCCAGGGAGGGGGGATGTGGAAGGCATTCAGGCTTAATTCGGGGAACTGGAGCACAGATCCAATTCCCTAAATCAAGAGCCCCTCACCAACATCAAGGAACCTTCCATGAGGGGACATATATATTCTCGAGACCTGGCTGGCTGCCTATTGAAGGTGATACAATGTTGTCAACACTCGCCCAAACACTATATTGTTTTGGTTACTCTTATCAGATGTCAAGCTGGATGTTACCTTTCTCTACATCTCCCTCCTACAACTATATTTCTCTTTCTTGGATGTCTCTAGTTTTATTATCATCCCCGCCAGAGAAGTGAAGTGAGGGAGAGGCGGGGCATGTGAGGGGAAGCACTGAAGTGAGGGAGAGGCGAGACATGTGAGGGGAAGCACTGAAGTGAGGGAGAGGCGAGGCATGTGAGGGGAAGCATTGAAGTGAGGGAGAGGCGAGGCATGTGAGGGGAAGCACTGAAGTGAGGGAGAGGCGAGGCATGTGAGGGGAAGCATTGAACTGAGGGAGAGGCGAGGCATGTGAGGGGAAGCATTGAAGTGAGGGAGAGGCGAGACATGTGAGGGGAAGCACTGAAGTGAGGAGAGGGCGAGGCATGTGAGGGGAAGCATTGAACTGAGGGAGAGGCGAGGCATGTGAGGGGAAGCATTGAAGTGAGGGAGAGGCGAGGCATGTGAGGGGAAGCATCGAAGTGAGGGATAGTATACCTTAGATAGGGATGGGGCCTGAAATAAGATAACAGCTTTTAGCCTGTAAAGTTGATGTGTAAAAGAAAAAAAACCTTCATGTGAGGAAGGAACATAGGTTGGCGAGTGTGACTGTCTGGTGTGCCAAGACTTTCTTAAAGATGACACGTATGTTGACACCCGACACCACCAGTGTACACTCTCCTCTCTCTTATACACTGTGACTCGACCCCTGCAAACATATATTGGTGAGTCCAAACACACACGCGCGCGCGCCGAACAATCTAGAGTAAAACAGTGAGGCAGGCATAGCTTTCAAAGAGGTACGATAAAGTCTTGGAGCAAAGAAGGTGTGTGACTGAGGATAGGAAAAGGTGGCAGGGGTGTGAATCGACCTGGTGGTGCCGACTACAAAGTGACCATGTTGACATAGACACTTACTTTTTTTACATCCTAACAAAACAGTTCGTGCACAGTACTCTTGTCCTGCTTACGTGTCATACATTGGTGTGTGCACGTGCGTGTTCAACAGCATATTGTGTGAGGTGCCACAAAAACACATCAAAGTGGTGGAGTTAGTGTCCCACACTTATTTCTATTGAGAGTATATATGCATTTATAATGACGGCTCTATACGTGATCTTACTCAACAAGGGTGTCAGAAAGGGTCTTTGATTTCATATTAAGAAAGGTATGTAGGACACGAGGTTAGGGATACTCATTTTGCATGAAATTAAGATGCAAAGTCAAGAGTTATAAAAATTTACCATGAACACATAACTGGAGTCCACACCCAATACACTTGACAAGAGCAGGGGTCACTGTTGAACCTGAAACTTATTTGCAGAATTAACAAAACCACCTTAAAGGACTATGTGAATTAAAGTCGATAATGTAGATATGTTCATGTTTAAAGTAAAGTTGTTCATGAATGTGCAAGAAAAAAATTAAGAGATTGGAGTAAGTAATATAAAAAAAACCCACACTTCATTATTCTATTGAGGTCCAAGGAATAACTCGAAAGCTAATGAGGCAACCCTATTTTTAACTCACACACAGGTGTTTAAAATGGATAATGATAAATACATTTTTTTTTGTAAGTTATCAGGCCACGAGGCTGGAGGAACCCCAATGAAAATAAATCATCAAGAGTTATAATCAATTTACCTTTAAAGCTACACACAATCAGATTACCCCCAACTACATTCACCCAGAGCTAGGGGCACCCTTCCACCTGCCAACTCAAGATGCTGAATTTACAACCACATAGAGCCATTAAAGGATGAATAATAAATCGATAATTTCCCTTCACTGTGTAACAACACATGTTTAAAGATAAAAATTGCCTTCAAATTCTAAGGGGTAAACTTTCCTTTTACGCAATTTATAAGAATCTTGATCATAATTAAATAAACAACTTCCAAATTTTGACAACCACAAGCCTTTAATTTACATATTTTATATTATTATTGATAACAAGGGGAAGGGTAACTCGGAAAAAGCCCTTTCATGAGGAACATATCATGTAAACTCAAAGACTTGACTCATTTTTAAATTAATAATAAAAAAAATTTTATTTTTTTACTCACTGGCCATCTCAGCAGAGCAGAGACACCTCAAAGAAAACAATCATCAACGTCAACTCAATTGTTGCCTTTCCAAAAGTGTGCTGACATCACAATCAGATTACCCCTCCAACTACATTCCCACCCCTTCTTCAGAGTGCAGGCACTGCCCTTCCCACCTCCAGGACTCAAGTCTGGCTGACCAGTTTCCATGAATCCATTCATAGAAGTTACCTTACTCCAGCAGGATGCCAATTAAAAACCACTCGTTTCCCTTCACTCGTGTCCAACAATCTCTCACAAGCCTGCTGAATACTTAAGCCCCTAAAACTCAAAAGCCTTTTGTACCCCCTCCCTCGAACCATTCCTAGGATGTCCCCTTTCCCTTCTACCTCAAATTTATCCACCCTCCTCTTCAACCTATTCATCATCAAATGCCCAAACCACCTAACCAACCCCTTAGCCCTCTGAATTATGCCCTTGGCAACCCACACCATCCTTTAATTTCTACACTTTACTTCCTCTGAATATTATTATTATAATCAAGGGGGAAGCGCTAAACCCGGAGGATTATACAGTTCCTCTGCATAATTTTCACACCACATTACTCAAACATGACATTAATTGCATCTAGCCTCATTGCAACATTCAAGACCCATAAAAAAAAAAGTTGGTACCACTGTACTTTCATATATCACCTTGCTTCTCTTTGTATTTTACTCAACACACCACCTATATTTTCTCTCCCCTCATCAGTCTTAGAACCATTTGCTGACATGTCCAGACCAAAATATCTAAACACATCTACTTCCTTTATTATAATAAAAAAAGAAGTGCTAAACCTACAAGGGCCATATACAGCACTCTTTACTTCCTTTAATCTTCCATTGCTCTATGTTCACTTTTAATTTTCTTTTACATGCCCTCCTAAATTCATTCACCCTTTCAAACTTAAATTCAGGATCTCTCACAATACGTTGCATCAGCTAAGAGAAACTGTTACAACTCACTCACATTTTATTACATTAATATTATAATGAAGAAAAAGTGCTAAACTAAATTTTATCACAACCATCATCTGTTTAATTCCACACCCTAGCATTCATTTTTTTTTGGGCATCCTCCATATTTAAATATGTTAAACTACCATGTCTACATTATACATCACTGTTTAAGCCTCACTTTCAATGAGAAATAATCCCCCTGTCCACCTACCCTAACCTGAACCTCACTATCCACTAAAAGCACTGAAGATTAAGTTGAGTGCTAAACCTGTAGGAGGTCATACAGCACTTGGAAATGGGAAACAGTCAGGTTTCATACAAGGAGGGAAGAGGATAAATGCAATTCCTTGGACCAAGAGTTACTTACAGCAGCGAGAAACTTATCTTGGTCAACACTGAAGAGTTCAACCCTGTATTAACCAAATTTTTATTTACATTTAGGGGAAAGTGCTTAACCCATGGGGCCATATGGCACCTGAAAAATGGAAAGAAATCAGATGAAATCCAAGGAACAGGGAATGCCACGTCCAATTCCTTACACCATGAGCCTCTCGCTGGCATTAAGAATTCTATTTTGACAGGAGAAATTTACCAAATTTAACCCTTAAACTGTCCAAACAGATCTATGTTCACATGCGTAGTGCTCCAAAAGTAGATCTACGTTTTTTTACATATTTTCAAATATAACAAAAAAAAAAATGTAGATCAGTTTTTTTTTTACATATTTTCAAATGTAAAAAAAAAAAAGATCTACATTTTTTTACATACGTACTTTCAAATGTTGAAAAAACGTAGATCTACGTTTGGACAGTTTAAGGGTTAAAGGTTTTGCCTTTGAGGAATAAATCATACACTACAAATACATCTGCATAGATATTATTCAGTTATAGATTGTTTTCACACATTGCACAACCTGTATACCTTAAGCATAGAAGAACTTACCACCAGGTAAGACACCTGCTACTGTAGCTCGTCAACTTCTATTTCTACCATACTTACACTATGAACATGAGATCAGTTTAGTAAAATTATTATGCAACTGGAAGCACACATAATGGACTGCTTTGTAAGATTTTTATAATCAGTGATATACTCCACATAAAATAAATATACAGTATATTCTTGGTTTAAAAACATTGTATTGTGCTGGAGTAAATCTATTTGTACACGTAAAACTGCATGTATTGCAACTATTAACTTGCCCTTATCTTCACACCCATTTTTTCTACTCATTTCTCAAAGTAGTCCCTTAGTCCTGTCCCCATGCTATTAACCCTTAAACTGTCCAAATGTAGATCTACGTTCACTCGCGTAGCGCTCTGAACGTAGATCTACATTTTGTTTTTACAGGCTTTCTTATGGAGAAAATCAAGGTCGGAGCGCTATGAGTGAAAACGTACATCTACGTTTGGACAGTTGAAGGGTTAAGCAATATCTTGACTACCTCATGCAAATTATTTATATAGGTTATTTGCTCTTGAACCAAATGAACACATTGCAAAAAGCATTAGTACAATTCAGCTGTAATGTATATAGATGCTTAGTGTGTAACGCAACTTTATCATCTCGCGTCTCATTGCACCAACAAAGAAGAGCGAGGGATGTTCTTGTGTCTGGTAATCCCAACTATATTTAATATTCACATTTTTAGGAGACTTTTTTTTTTTAATTTTAACTATTATTATTATTATAATCAAAAAGAAGCGCAAAGCCACAAGGGCTTAATTTTAACTAAGTTTTCTGAATATTACAGAAGTTCTATTACCCATGTATGAAAACCTCACTTTTGTTGAACATTAATACATACTGTGCTAGGACTGCAGGATACACCCACTCATCTCCCCTAAATGCTTCAATTTGAGAATGCATACATCTTGTGATCATGACTACCACAATGGGAAGTTTACAATACACTGCATTTATTCCATGAAACTTCTGACCCTTGATCATCATAATCCAGCTTTCTGCAAAGTATCATTAACCCTTTGGCTCATAGCCTTCAAGGAACAAGAAACAACTGCCATTACAAGTTACTCTTATCAAAAGCATTTACAATGATATTAAACACTGTGATCCACTCAAGTGATTTTTGACCAGTGTTACTGTTGGTAAGCTGCTTCAGCTTCCTTTAATGCTGGGCTGCCATATTAAAATGCACATTCTGAGGTGCTTCTCTGGACCTTATTTTTTAACTAATCCTATATTTCAAATATATTTAGGGTATACATATGTACACAAGTAATCCGAGGCACTACATAATGTACAATAATACAAAATTTAGTAAAATATAAATATCCTCTGGTTGTATCAGATATAAAAATAGTGCATATTACAAATTAATCTATTGTTCACATGTAACTACAGAATCCAATTCTAAATATCAGTTATGCCATGTTACAATAAAATCTTGCTAAGTCAACACAAATGTTTGCTAAATTTATAACTACTGATTTTTACTGTCCTTCATTGCAAATGTTAATTATTTTATTTTTATTAGAACGTTTTATGTTAACAACAGTGGAGTGGGAGGCTTCTCAATTGCACCGTGAGTCAGACATTTCTAACTCTTAAATATAAAAGGAACCAATTTATATTTAAATTATCCACTTAATAGTTTTCGAGGTCAGTTATATGTTTGAAATATACCATGTCACAAGTCTCAAAAAAAACTGTCGCTATGTTAATTCATTAGTTTAGTAGAAACGCTACACTCCACAGGCCACATCACTGAGCTCCAAGATTTTGCATAATGGCCTCTTATAATTATGGATTGACAAGTGCGAACACTCTGATTTGTAATGTTTATCCCTTAAACAAAACAAGTCATTAAAATAAATACATCTTATTTCTTTATACCCAGAGTCACTATGTATTAAAGAATGACTTACCCCAAACTTTTTTTTTTTTTTTGTTTCCTTAATGTATGATTATCAATATTACTGTTCTTCTGTGTTATATACAAGAGAAAACTTCTTTCACAACAATTAAATAATGTTCTCTTTTCCCATATTAACCCAGACTCTGAAAAGTTACTGAAAAATCAATCATCGTCATCAGACTCTGCAGCATTGAACAAATCCATCAGGTTCCTTGATGTAAGGTTAAAGGAAGACAAAGGCTCCTCATCTACAGGAATCTTCGGGCTGGGCGTACATGGCACACTGAGACTCCCACTCACGTTCACATGTTGACCAAACTGTCTTCCTGATCTTGAGTGAACACTTCGCCGGTGAAGAAAAGATGGACTTTCGCCCACATTTAGGCTAGCATTTAGGCTGCAAAGATTCAGAAATTTTCATAATTACAACATATATCATTACTTTTGTAAAATATTCTACCTGCATAAATAAATGCAATTCTCCATGGAGAAGTGGAACAGAATTCTTCCTCCATAAACCATGCATGTTGTAAGAGGCAACTAAAATGCCGGGAGCAAGGGGTTGCAAGGGGCTAGTAACCCCTTCTCCTTTATAGAATACTAAATTAAAAAAAAAACTTGTGTTTTTTTTTCTTTTTGGGCCACCCTGCCTCAGTGGGATATGGCCCGTTTGTTGAAAGAAAGAAAGAAAGAAGCCTGCTCAGAGGGATGTGTACATGCATACATGGTGGGTGTACAACCCCAGGAAACATTAACACCTGCACAACTACTGCCTGTGGTGCAAGAATGGGCTGAATAAGGATGGAAAAATAAATGCCTTGTCTTATAAATTCCTGTTTTGCCACATTTATTAAGACTTATTTTCTAACAATTTTTTTCGAAATCATTACTGCACAAGCACAAAACTACATGGATGTACTACTACTAATAAAAAGGTACAAATATACCCTTACCTATTTCTGATGGTGGGTGACACAGTGATAAAATCTGTTTGCTTCTTGAATTGATATCCAATGGGTGTAGAGTTACCAAATGGCTTGCGAGTGTATTGATTGGCTTCACTACTTGAGGTTGATATGTCACTTAAGGGTTGTGCTAGACTCTGGTCATCAATGCCATCATCTACAAGTGGTAAACCAAGCACAACAAATCAAGGAGGGGTTACCAATAGTGAGTAATGCAATGATCAATTAACAATAATAGTATTATGACAAGATACACAACCTACAAACAATGATTAAACCGCTTCACCCATGGAAAAAAAAAAAAAGTATGACGTGGAAAGCTCGAGAAAAAAAATGAAATTACGTGTTTTCTGCATTTGGACACTGACAAAACTTGTTTAGCTTATCTGATAGTTCCTATTGAGAAGAAACTAGCCATTAACCGAACCATCTACTTCTACCTCACCAGAGCGCAAGGACTATACTTTTCAACCTCTTAAAACTGAAAAGAGGCTAGTTTCCCTGAGTACCTTCATAGATATTACCTAACTCAACACTGACAAAACATCAACTTCCAAAGACAATTTGCATCCACACATGTTTACCTATCAACCTCTTGCACTCTTCATCCAACAGTTCCATTCACCCAAATTTTATATTGTATATTCTTTATCAAATTAACTCCATTCTTAATATATGACCAAACTAACTTAAACCCTCTTCTGCTGTATAAATTACATTATTCGTGCAACCACACAACCTTACCATAACCAGGTCCCTCACTTTCTTCATAATTCTTTCTTTATAATTAGTAACTTATCACCCACTTCACACAACTGGCACTTGCCACATCACTCACCAATTGTTAGTTATTTGAATTTTTCAAATACAATAATGTAACAAACAGTTCCTTCCTTATCTAAGCATTGCTCACTTGTGTATTTTGATGGAAATGTTTGATCTGCACATCTCCCTTTTCTAAATCTGTTGTCTTGAACACCTTAAGTCATAACCAAACCCCACCCCATCTTCTCTGTGGGGATAACCAGTTGATAAACTCACCATCAGAAAATCCAGCTGTGAAGTCAGAATCAGAATTGTTTATTCTTGAGAGGTTTGGCAAGTCCTCAGAAGCTTTACTTTTTTGCAGACATTTGAGAGGTTGTGCTAGGAAGCTAAGGAATACCACCAGGTACAGCCATGTCTGCATTAATGTGTTCTTAGCTTTCATAATCTGGAAGAAAAGTACTTAATGGCAAGATATAAAAACAAGCACCATCTATACCTGTAGAACACTCCTTTGGATAGCTATCATATCCCACCTCAATTAATCAACTGTCTGTAAAGGAACTTTACTAAAATAATAACATAGGACTTTACTACATTCACTGTCTTTGACACAGTTGCCACTTCTTTCCTCCAACTCTAATCTTCAATTACATGCAATCTATAGCACTACCATAATAGTCTACATATTTAGTGTTTTACATTTGCCTGCTCACTATACATTTCACTGGTCATATTCTCCACTGTCAGACAGTAACTCCTACAAATAACTTTTTTTTTTATTCAACCTACACATCATTAAAAAGTAAAAAGAGCTGATCTCATTAATGTTAAATTTTTAAACAACATCTCCTCACTTAATGACGGAGTTCCGTTCCTAAGACCGCGTCGTTAAACGAATTCATAGCTAAGTGAGGAGCATACTTTAATAGTAGTGAGTGTGTGTCAACCACCTTTGATATTGTTTTAATGTCACCTTTGCACCATTTATAACATTTCTGGTATATTTTTAAATGTTTACACAGTACTGTACCGTATATTGAAACAAACAGAATAAAGGAAATCAGCTCTAATATACAAGTAAACAATTACGTCGTTAAGTGAGGAGAGGCTGTATTTTATTAGAAAAATATTATGAATTTTAACAACCTCCCTCTCCAAATAAATTATTTCCACAGCTGATGGCTCATATTGTCATAAAAATGTCTTTAACCATATTCATCTGTGTGCTTAATTGCTTAAAACTGCATAACAAATAAAATAAATATTTTACCGATTTTCGACAGTAGTCTTTGATAGTTTTGTGATAAAGAACTCTCTTGATAGGAGGAAGAGCAAGAGCTTGTTCTGCTGTGAGTCTTTCTTGTGGGTTGGGCTGGAGGAAGCCTGTCAGCACTGACTGTAAGTCCTTGGATAAACCTGAAAAAAAATTACAACAATTTAGTTTCTCCTAACACTAAACCAGAAACAAAAATGGATAACAACACGGCTGTACAAAACTTTATACTGTACATCAATGCAAAAGCAGCATCTTCTTTGTATTTTATAAATAATTTAAGATAAATCAGGTTCAAAACTTTAATGAGGTAAAAACTTAAGAGACACCTGCCTGCTTAAGTGCAAATACAATGGAACCTCAAAAATCGAACTGCTCCTAACTCTGACCAATTATGTAAGTGCATTTTTGTAAGTGCTTTTATAAGTGTATTTTTGAGGGTTTGAAATGGACTAATCTAATTTACATTATTCCTTATGGGAATAAATTCATTCGGTAACGGCACTTGGACAGCCTTCTGGACTGAAGAAAGTTCGATATTTGAGGTTCCACTGTAATAGAAAGATACAGTAGTAATGAGCAAACTCAAATTACTTGCCTGTTTTCCACTTTCATGTGGTGAGAAGCCTCTCACAAGGAAAAAATGGAAATGTGTAATAAAAAGATATCAAAAGAAAAGTATGTTAACCCAATTTTACCACTAATTTTGTGAAACTGATTACCGTATAATAAACAAAAAATCTTTGGAAAGAAATTCCTACATTCAGAAATATATTTCTCATGTCACAGCTTAAACAATGAACTGGTGACTGGGTTACAGTACTCAAAATATATCTTAATCTCTATACAAAGTGTTCATTCAACCATAAAAGAAAAGAAATACCCATGACATACGGATAGGCTGCAGGAGGAAGTCTTCCCTGCCTCAGCTGCTGCCAGGCATCTCCTTGTTTGGGCAAATCTAGATCTGTTGCCAACTCCAAAATGGTCATACCCAGGCTAAAGATATCAGCAGGAGGCCCAAACTGTAGATTCATCAGCTCTGGAGCTAAATATTTTGGATCACCTTCCACGGCCTCATGCACTGGGCCCTGAGAAATTGTAATAAAATTAATAAACTGAATATCAAATGGTGTTGACATCACATATTTTACTTGCCTACTCTTATGTTCATTGGTAGGTTGAATAATATACTGTTTATTTTTGTAAATTTTTTGCTCCCAAATGACTATAAATCAAAATTAATATCATATTCACAAAATAAGTTTTTTTTTTTTAATTTAGAGATTTAACATAGAAATGTTTCTAGCATATACTGAAGAAGGATTTCAAACTAACACATTATTTTCACAAAAATCTTAAATGACAAAAATTTTCCCAAAATTTAATATAAAAAACAAGGGTAAAAAAAATGCGGGGGTTTTTTTAAAAAATAACTAAATTGAATGAGGACGACATATCTTACCGAGAAATACAATGACAAACCCAAAAACCCCCAAAATTTTCATGTCCATCGTATCCAAAAAAGGGTTTCTGGGGGTTTAATTTTCCTGTAAACCCAAAAATTGTGTTTTGCAAATGTCTTACCCCCTGAAACAAGAGACATTTAAAAATATTTTTATTTTGAATAAAATTTTTACAGAAAATAAATATTCATTTAACTGGCCTCTGCAAAAAAAGTATTACATACTGTAGTATCAAAGCAAATATTGTAATACCCGAGGAAAACTTTTAAAAGTTTTAAATTTTAAATGGCCAAAAAAAGAAAAAAAAATTATATTTTTTTGCCAAATTTTTAAAGAGGAATAAGCATAACCTGTAATAAATCGCTGTAATCCCACAAAAACAATTCGGGGGGGCCCCAAATTTTTCCCTGCTACTCACAAGTGATTTTCTTGCAAACTTCAGTCAGAAATAAAGAGGGTGCCCTTCCTCCAGGGACGATAAAATTGTACCCCAGTTTTTATGCTTTGGTAATGTTTTTATGTTTTTTTTACCTCCCCATGCTTCCCCACGTCTGAAAAAAACAAAAGTTTTTTAAATGATAGGTTTGGGATTAAAGGGATGCCCGGGGTGGGCCCAGTGTCAAGAGCAAAAAGAGAGGGTTACTCAAATCAAAATGCCATAGCCGGCAGAAAATGTGAAAAACTTGTGCTAAATAAAAAACAAGAGTCTACACAAAAACGTATAATTCCTACCTGTCTCCTTCCCCCCGAAATTTAAGTAGTGTCCTCTTGCAAGCATATAATTTCCCATCCTCTTTGCTCCGAACACGAAATACTTCTCCAAATGAACCTGCTCCAAGTCTCTCTTCTATTACATAGCATTGTTCAAAATATAGTGCAGATTTCTCAGCCTTGTAAAATGGACTTTGCACAATGAAAGCTGTTAAAGAAAATGTAAATTACTATTTATAAAAACGTTCAAAATCCTAACTGGAATAATACCAAAAAGCAGTATCTCTAAAATCAGAAAATATTAAGGGAATGGGTCTGTAAAAAAAAAAACCATACCACGGGCGGGATTGAACCCGCGGTCAGTCTCAAAACTTCAGACCGCCGCGACGGTCTGGAGTTTTGAGACTCTGACTGCGGGTTCAATCCCGCCCGTGGCATGGTTTGTTTGCAATCGTGTCATTACGATTTCGTGAGTCAATGGGTCTGTAGTAAAAAAAATGATCAAATACTATAAAACATAGCAAAACAAATATTTTCTTCCAAACAATGAGTTAAGACATATTTATTGGTCCTCATTAGCCATTACAGGAGGAATCTGTAGGAACTCATTTCCAAAGAAACAATATAATAAGACATTTTAGCTTTGAATTTTGCATTAAATTAATTAATTACCTTGATTTCTGAGAAACTGGGAAATATTGACTGAGGAGTTTTGGAATCAAGTGCTCATTTAAGTAGTAATACTATGGCTACAAAAAAACTGCAATAATGGAGTGTAAATTTTACTCCCCAAAATTACTCACACGTGTCAGTGTCCTCACGGAAAGACACGGCCTGAGGACGATCTGTGTCGTTTACCCGTGGGAAAATTCTCGTAACCGGGCAGCTTTTCACTGGAGCTCTTGGAGGCTGGGCAAACTTGGGTGTGCCACGAGACTGAAAACCAGGCTATGCATTATAGATAAATGTGCTTGTGATTGCTGTATTTGTTATCTAAGATTTAATAAATGCAATACAACATGCTGATACTATAGTTTAGGAGCACAACCTAGATACTTCAAGCATTTAAAAGAAAATGTGCAAAGATGTTACCTTTCATATCTTATTTTTTAGGCAGCACTACTGTAATAATGTTATCAAAGTCTTTACCGATACAACATCAATCCTGCAATACTTAGTTAAGGTGTGCTCATACAACTGCATAATTCTCTCTCTCTCTTTCTCCTGAATAACAAAGAAAGTTTACATTTAGTTTTTGCAAACACTACAAAAATTTTTATGATGGTCTTGGCTCACAGATGTTATGTGCATTATGGAGTATTATTTTAGTCTAGAATAACCCAATGCAGCCAAACATTAATGTAACTACATATTAAGACCAATCACTTACAATGAGGAGTCAGTAAGTTCTCATCAAGGCTCATATATGATCTGAAACGTTGACAATTTTATATAGTAAGTAATGTAAAATTTAACATAGGATAACGAAAGTAAAACAATTATTTATTTACAGTCAAGTAACACTGGGGAATGGGCGGTAATTAGGTTTGACAGAGAGGGTAGCTTCATTTCCTGGGATCAAGAGTACTTTACCAGCAACAAGGTGCCCCTTCATCCCTCCTTGAAGGACAAGAGAACAGACATTATCATGAAACATTTTATAAGTGAAGGATGCTCCTCAAAAGAAATGAGATATTTTCTTACATTTTATGATGCCTACAAGCTTTTTCTGATATTATGTCTATTTAGGTACATTTACAGTTTTTGGCCCCTCAAGGAAGGTTCCTTGATGTTGTTGAGGGGCTCTTGATTTAGGGAATTGGATCTGTGCTCCAGTTCCCCAAATTAAGCCTGAATGCCTTCCACATCCCCCCCTAGGCGCTGTATAATCCTCCGGGTTTAGTGCTTCCCCCTTGATTATAATAATAAATAATAATACAGTTTTTGGATGATTACAACCGTCTTGTTGAGTAATATGTGTAAATTATCCAAGTTAACCCAAAGTTAAGGACCACAAAGAAATGTCACTTTTGGGTTATTTTACTAATTTACACATGTTACTAGTAATACACCTGTAATCAGCAGAAAAGTGTGTAAAAATGTACCTAAATAAACTAACGGAAAGTTAAGAGATGTCAGTTATACGTTACTAAATATTTTACAGATATCGATACTATCAAAACTGGCAGATACTGGTACAGTTACCACCACAAATGACCGATACCGATACTCAGCCACACCTATACCAGATGTCACTTAGGAACCTAGATGAAAGCTCCAAAGCCTTGGATCAAGATCCCTCCACCAGTATGAAGCCATCCTCCTCCTGAAGACTCTGGAGGCCACACACAACACTACTCACTCTTCCTCTCTCTCTCACACACATCACATTACTTCTTTACCTTCTTGGTGGACAATGGTCTGTGTTCAGTGATGAACACCGGTGCTGGTCTCTCGTATGACAGTGGACTGTTACTTCCATTAATTAAGATCATCTTCGCGGCAAATCTTCATAAAAACAAACATGGTTTGTGAGGTGCGCATGCGCGGCGGCCGGCAGGGGCTACCCACCTATCCATTATAATTACAATAATATTAGTGAATATTGCTTTACAAAAGTGCAAAAATATATTAATTGGAGATATGTGTATTCGGTAAGAAGTACTAATTGGTAAAATGACATTAAAATGGGTGTATATATTAAAATAAGACTGGAATTTCTTGGTCACCGAGGAATGCCGTCATGGGGGACTACAGGTCTACTTGCGAATGAAGAGAAGAGAATGTAATTATATAATAATTATTATCTTTGTTTCTGTAAGTACTGTACAACTTGCACAGTACGTAAGTTTATTGAGGCACAGGTACACATAAGAACAGTTATCATACATAGTGTAAATTACCTAGGACAACCCCCACTCCCCAAAAAAAGTCTATGACTTATTTCCATTCGGGAGAACATTAAATAAATAAATAAATATCTTTATTTACTACAAGTACATGTACTTGGTATTCTAAAGACTGGATGGAGTAAACAGGGAAGTAGGGAAAGTACAAGAATAGGTTGGTGAAAAGCAAGGTATTTAGTAGGGAAAGAAGCAGGGGTTTACCCTAACAGGTGAACATTAGTGGCAGGGGAAGAAGATGGACGGGCAGGGAGGGCACAAACTCTGTGATAATGTTCCTCAGACACTCCTCACAACAATGGTGGTGGGTCGAGTTAGTAATTACGGACACTAAAGTTCCTGGCCCGTTAAGAGGAGTCGGTGACCCGGCAGTACTCCTGCCGGGTCACCGACTGTATAAGACCCGGGCCAGGACACCACTGCTGGACCACATCACTCACCTCGAGGTGAATTTTTAAGAGGCCGTGGTATGTCAAGTTTGTCTTGTTTCTCAGTTAGTGTCTTTAATATACATTTAGCAGGATGGAGGGAGTCACCTGTAATAAACACTTCCAGATGGTATCAAACACCCAGCACAAGGCACTGGACACACTGTAGTTAATTAAGTTTATTTAGGTACACATGACTGAGAGAAAATATAGTTTGGGGTGGGCGTTGACGTACTGTAGCTCGTAGTGTCCAGCAGGACTGTAATGTATGTAGTGTTGTTTGGGATGGGAATGTAGGTACCTGTGTCGAATGTTCTGAGCTGGACAGGCACTGAGAATCATGTTTCCTGTAGTTGAAGTATCTGACACTGCAACATCATGGAATCTTGGTTCAGAGGACATCTAGTCAGACACTGCAACATCATGGAATCTTGGTTCAGAGGACATCTAGTCAGACACTGCAACATCATGGAATCTTGGTTCAGAGGACATCTACAAGACCTTCTTCACGGCTGCTGCAACTAACCCATCTCTTTGGGAAGGACCTACTTCCACTGGGGAATCCCGCCTACCAGTGACTGCCCTCGTCTGCTGCCCGTCCCATCCACTGACGCCTATAAAAACGCCAGTCTTCTTGCCTTTGCTCCAGACTCTCCTCCACCACGATGCTGTGAACACTAACTCCAAGGCCGAGGGACTGATTACCTCATCTTTTGTATATAGTTCTACTGTCTTCCTATTATGTCCTAGAATCTGTATTGAGAAAGCCACTGGATGGCGAAACGTCTACAATAAAGATATCCAGATGTTGCACATGTGTCTTAACTTTCATGTAGTTGAAGTAATTTTGGAGTAGTCAAGGAGCACGTAAGTTCCCCAGTCTCCTAATAACATGTTTATTTTCCCACTATAATATATCTTGTCCATAATTACTATCATATTTACTTTGTTTCGTAAGGTGAAGTCCAGGATCTTTCCTTAATTCATGGTATAACTTAACAAAACTGTGATGGCAATTGTGTTGTAGAGGTCTGAGTGAAGGTCAGACCTCTACAATAACAATTGTCCTCATAAAAAAACTTCTACTAGGGAGAGGAAGAATCTTCCAAATTCGACATATTTAGTTATGATATTTTTAATGTACAGTACGATACAATAACACAAAACAGAGAAACTCTGTGGCATGTGATGTAACATACATGTGGGCAAAGAATTATTCTCAAAGCTGTGAAACACTGGAAATAATCTGTAGAAATGTTAATTTCAAAGCATTTAAGTCATTTTTCACAACCATCTACAGTTTGGAGAGGAAATTTTAAACGCTATTTAAGTTCATCTTGGATCATTATTAAGTTACACATCAAAGAGGAAATATTGGACAAGAAGACAAGACAGGTGGATGTAAGCTGTCTTCTTCTTCTCAGGAACAAGGGGACACAACTGGAAGCTGTGTCCCCTTGTCAGTGACAGGGATGTTAGGAAGTATTTCTTCAGTCATAGAGTTGTCAGGAAGTGGAAAAATCTGGAGAGTGATGTAGTGGAGGCAGGGTCCATACATAGCTTTAAGAAGAGGTATGATAAAGCTCATGGAGCAGGTGGAGAGTGAACCTAGTAGCGACCAACGAAGATGCGGGTTCAGGAGCTGTGAATCGACTCCTGAAACCACAATTAGGTAAGTACACGCATCTTGCGCAGCTCGTCAGTCAGCTAGTGTTGTTGTGGTTGCCATGACAACGAGCATCAACACATGGTCAACAAGACCTGTTGATGTCACGTCAATACCATCAGTGTTGTCCTCTGTGCTGGTCACTGGGCGTTGGTCTTCCTTTATTAAGGACAAACACACTATCTGACCTTTATTATAAACCCTTGACCGGCTTAAACAGGAATATTTCAGATTATAACTCAAAATATGGGAAGTTCACTGATAGTCTTGTAGGTAAGTAGTTATGACGACACTAGTGTGATAGTAGTTAAGTAGACACTACTGTGATAGTTATGTAGACACTGCTGTGATAGTAGTTATGTAGACACTACTGTGATAGTAGTTATGTAGACGCTACTGTGATAGTAGTTATGTAGACGCTACTGTGATAGTAGTTATGTAGACGCTACTGTGATAGTAATGTAGACACTACTGTGATAGTTATGTAGACGCTACTGTGATAGTAGTTATGTAGACGCTACTGTGATAGTAGTTATGTAGACGCTACTGTGATAGTAGTTATGTAGACGCTACTGTGATAGTAGTTATGTAGACACTACTGTGATAGTAGTTATGTAGACACTACTGTGATAGTTATGTAGCCACTACTGTGATAGTTATGTAGACACTACTGTGATAGTAGTTATGTAGACACTACTGTGATAGTTATGTAGACACTATTGTGATAGTTATGTAGACACTACTGTGATAGTAGTTATGTAGACACTACTGTGATAGTTATGTAGACACTACTGTGATAGTAATGTAGACACTACTGTGATTGTAGTTATGTAGACACTACTGTGATAGTTATGTAGACACTACTGTGATAGTAGTTATGTAGACACTACTGTGATAGTTATGTAGACACTACTGTGATAGTTATGTAGACACTACTGTGATAGTAGTTATGTAGACACTACTGTGATAGTTATGTAGACACTGCTGTGATAGTTATGTAGACACTACTGTGATAGTAGTTATGTAGACACTACTGTGATAGTAGTTATGTAGACACTACTGTGATAGTAGTTATGTAGACGCTACTGTGATAGTAGTTATGTAGACACTACTGTGATAGTAGTTATGTAGACACTACTGTGATAGTAGTTATGTAGACACTACTGTGATAGTAGTTATGTAGACATACTGTGATAGTAGTTATGTAGACACTACTGTGATAGTAGTTATGTAGACACTACTGTGATAGTAGTTATGTAGACACTACTGTGATAGTAATGTAGACACTACTGTGATAGTAGTTATGTAGACACTACTGTGATAGTTATGTAGACACTAGTGGAGAAACTAATGGAATCACACTCTCTCCTAATAATGGTTAAGACTACAGATGGGACAAGAGCTAGAGTCTGACATAACAGTCATGTAAGTCGTTAACAACAGTCGAGGTTATCAACAGTGTCATCATTAACAGTTACCTGGAGTTATACACATTAAATGATTGACATATATTACGTTATCCAAGGAATGACAATAAGTAATTCTAATGGCTTACTTTTTTACTGTAAAGTAACCGGATTCAAATTATATTCGCCCATACAGGTTGTTTGATGGCTTACACAGGAATTACTTTGAAGGCTGCCACAAGTTACCTAGAGTGAAACAACATATCAACAGTCGTGGAAACAACAGAATACCGAACTTTATTATGCATATACGTCCCAAAAATACTCGAATATGTGACTGCATTTCATGATTAACAGTTTAGTCAATTAAACACATAGAAATATGGTATCAGAGTGTGGTAATGTGATGGTATGGGAGCCACCTTTCATGGTAGAGCAGACACCATGACCTCAGTAAGGCAAGATAACACTGGTGGACGGAGAAGTATATTACATAGTCAACCTACTCCTTCACACACACCCTCCATCAGTGCCCACCACACCATCACAGGCAACATTACTGTGAATGATGGTCAGACAGGAAGGAGAGAGTGGACTCTTGACGGTGTCAGCGCTCGTAGACGACATTCTGCTCTTCCTAACCCACATGTGAGAGTACTTTAATGTTTAAATACTTACCAGCATATATACACCGAGAAATGTATCATTTGGCATATACAGTGAGAGGTATCTTATTATATACTGAGAGATATCTCAGTGTATAAACAACGAGGGGAGGGTATATCAGTATACACCGAGGGGAGGGTATATCAATATACACCGAGGGAAGGGTATATCAATATACACCGAGGGAAGGGTATATCAATATACACCGAGGGAAGGGTATATCAATATACACCGAGGGAAGGGTATATCAATATACACCGAGGGAAGGGATATATCAATATACACCGAGGGAGGGTATATAAATATACACCGAGGGGAGAGTATATCAATATACACCGAGGGGAGGGTATATCAATATACACCGAGGGAAGGGTATATCAATATACACCGAGGGGAGGGTATATCAATATACACCGAGGGGAGGGTATATCAATATACACCGAGGGGAGGGTATATCAATATACACCGAGGGGAGGGTATATCAATATACACCGAGGGGAGAGTATATCAATATACACCGAGGGAAGGGTATATCAATATACACCGAGGGAAGGGTATATCAATATTTCACCGAGGGAAGGGTATATCAATATACACCGAGGGGAGAGTATATCAATATACACCGAGGGAAGGGTATATCAATATACACCGAGGGGAGGGTATATCAATATACACCGAGGGAAGGGTATATCAATATACACCGAGGGGAGAGTATATCAATATACACCGAGGGGAGAGTATAATCAGTATACACCGAGGGGGAGGGTATATCAATATACACCGAGGGGAGAGTATATCAATATACACCGAGGGGAGAGTATATCAGTATACACCGAGGGGAGGGTATATCAATATACACCGAGGGGAGAGTATATCAATATACACCGAGGGGAGAGTATATCAGTATACACCGAGGGGAGGGTATATCAATATACACCGAGGGGAGAGTATATCAATATACACCGAGGGGAGAGTATATCAGTATACACCGAGGGGAGGGTATATCAATATACACCGAGGGGAGAGTATATCAATATACACCGAGGGGAGAGTATATCAGTATACACCGAGGGAAGGGTATATCAATATACACCGAGGGGAGAGTATATCAGTATACACCGAGGGGAGGGTATATCAATATACACCGAGGGGAGGGTATATCAATATACACCGAGGGGAGGGTATATCACTATACACCGAGGTTTCTATAATCCATACTTCATTATTATTGCTAAAATATTCTTAATTAGATCAACAGGTTCTAGGCAGCCTTAATGACCCTCAGTTAATTAGATCAACAGGTTCTAGGCAGCCTTAATCACCCTCAGTTAATTAGCCAACCTTTTACTATTTATAACTTTACTAGATTTAAAACCACATTCCACTTATACTTTAATGTCTATAATTAGTTAAGGTAAGATTGGTGCGGACATTTTAACCCAGAGTTTTAGTTACTCAGGATAAACCAGGAAAGTTAGTGCGTCTTGGGGACTGTCTCGAGTCAATTTTGATGATGTATACAGTACAGTGTATATGTAAATGTGTATATTTATACCTGGAGGGTATTTCCAGGATCAACGCCCTCGCGGCCCGGTCCATGACCAGGCCTCGCAGTACATCAGGGCCTGATCACCCAGGCTGTTACTGCTGGCCGCACGTAAACCGACATATGAACCACAGCCCGGCTGGTCATTTACTGACTTTAGGTGCCTGTTCATCTCCCTCTTCAAGACAGCCAGGGGTCTATTGGTAATCCCCCTTTTGTATGCTGGGAGGCTGCTGAACAGTCTTGGGCCCCTGACACTTACTGTGTTGTCTCTTAGTGTACTGGTGGTGTCCCTGGTTTTCACTGTGGGGATGTTGCGCTACCTGCCGAGCCTATTGCTTTCATATGGAATAATTTTCATGTGTATATTGAGGACTAGTCCCTCTAGGATTTTCCAAGTGTATATTATCATGTATCGTCCTCGCCTTCCTTCCAGAGAGTACAGGCCTTCAACCGTTCCCAGTAATTTAGGTGCTTTATGGTAGTTATACATGCACTGAAAGTTCTCTGTATATTCTCCAGGTCTGTAATTTTGAAGACCTATGTATTGCATGTGGATCATTAAGGCTGCAATTGACATGTACTCTAATATCAAGAGCACTTTAATTATCAAAACAGGGTTGAAAATAATCTCTCATTGTATATGCCATGTGATTTATATTGATAATTCGTTAGGTTTTAAAGTCTATATAGACTCCACGATGGCCATTACCGCTATATATTAACTCCATTAAGTAACCCTGGGAGTAAATTCTGATAGATACATATTAATTATGTTATTTGGGAAAAATTATATTTAACCATAAATAAATAGCTTCTATATTTTATTATTATTATTAGTAGTAGTAGTAGTATTAGTATTATTTTTGTTAAATGTGAGTGTCTTATAGATGTGATATATAACACAGAGTTACCGGTCGGTGGGGTCATCGTTGGCCTTGTCCTTAGGAAGTGTGCGGACAGTGGAAGCCTTCACTCCTGCCTCCCGCATGCGGGGAACTATGGTGGGCCGCCCACCCAAGCTTGGGGTGTTCCGCCCACGACCAGCCCCGCCCACAACCTTCAGAAAGATGTACGAACGTGGAGACGTGCCCGTAACCTTACATCACGACCACCACGGACACAACCTTCGCTGGAAGGTAGAGAGAGAGAGGATAATAGTAAGAGTGAATAATGTGAATGTAAGAAAGAATGGCGAGATGTTTCTTTTCTCTGTTTCTTCAGGTGGAGGTGGAGAAGTTGGACTATCATCACTACCTGCCTCTCTTCTTCGACGGTCTAAGGGAGGTCACTCACCCTTATGACTTCTTCAGCAGGGCAGGCATCCGTGAGCTACTTGCCCGCGGGGGAGACAAGATCCTCCCAGTCATTCCCCAGCTCATCCTCCCCATTAAGAGTGAGTGATCAGGCTGATGCTGGGAGAGGAAAGGTAAAACTGTCTATATACTCTGGCCATTCGAAGATTTAGACACATGTAGGAGACACCTGACGATCTACCTGGAGACCTGTATTCTTATAGGAAGCATTGAGACTTGTTTAGAAAGCATAGAGACCACAGAACGGGTAGGGATTGAACTCACGGCGAGTTAGTCCTAAAACTCATTCATTATGAGTTCAAATCCCACCCGTCATGTGGTTTGTTTGCAATCGTATTATTACGATTTCGTGAGTCATGAAAACATGGAGACAGTAGAACTAACTGACAGTGTCTAAACTGTATGAGTTAGTTTAATATGTTTATTATGCACCCCATACCCATCCCGTGGGCGGTAGTCAAAAGATTACAGAGGTACACAATTGGTCCAGGGACTGGACTCCAAAGTTTTGATAGCTGAGCAAGTTACAAAGGTAATGAACTAGATCTGGTCATAATCATGGCCAAGTTACAAAGGTAATGAGCTCCAGGTTGAGCTGGTCACACTCATGAGTAATTGCAAAGGTAATGAATCATAAACACATTAATCATGAGAATTTACAAATGTAATGAGCTCCAGGTAGAGCTGGTCACAATCATGACAATTTTCAAAGGTAATGAATGATAAACACGTTATGACATGATTACAATCATAGACAAATTACAGAGTAATGAGCAGTAAATATTTGAATTTTGTGTTTGCTGGAAGTGTGGAAGTGTGAATTGCTCATTACTCTATAATTTGTTCATGATTGTAGCCAAAGTATAAACGTAAGTAACCATTCTACAGAATTCATTACCTTTGTAACTTGTGAGCTCATTACCTTTGTACCTAGTTCAGCTATCAAAACTTTGGGGGCCCAGTCCCTGGACCCATTACGTACCTCTGTAATCTGTAAATACCTTTGTAACTTGTCATGATTGTGACCAGACTTACCTGGAGTTCATTACCTTTGTAAATTGTGAGTTCATTACCTTTGTAAATTGTGAGTTCATTACCTCTGTAACTTGCTCAGCTATCAAAACTTTGGAGTCCAGTCCCTGGACCAATTATGTACCTCTGTAATCTTTTGACTACCGCCCACAGGATGGGTATGGGGTGCATAATAAACATATTAAACTAAACTAACTAACTTCTGTATAGACCGTCCACATTTTTCAATCCAGACAATATACATTTTAGATTTTCATCCTTGCTGTACGTTTTCATTCATATTCCGTAGACAGAATGCCTCAGTGTAAACTATATTCTATGTTCTTTAACTTCCTGACGTTAAAAAACAAAAGCGGAAATTTTGGTGCAGTTTTAGTGTGGTGATAATCTGCCACCAACGCTCCGCCATTTTTGAGGTACGTTAACACAGACTGACGTTTAATATCCGAGGCTTTAGCGGCAGTGTGTGTGCTTTAACATTACCTTCCTATCTCCCTTCCTGTTTTATCCACCCTCCTCCCTCTACCTTATTTTCTCCCTTCCTTTTTTATCTAATAACCTCTCCCTTCCCCTCCGGCCCGACTTTCAAGACAGAACACACTATCTAGTACAAACATTTTAAGTCATTTCTGGGAATACTTTGTGTTTACATATTTTACTTATCGCTGGCGTGAAAAGTACTATGTTTTTCACTAATATAAATGTTAAGTGGAAGTGTTCAGTACAATGTTATCATTTATACTACACTGGAGTTTACCTGGAGAGAGTTCCGGGGGTCAACGCCCCCGCGGCCCGGTCTGTAATCAGGCCTCATGGTGGATCAGGGCCTGATCAACCAGGCTGTTACTGCTGGCTGCACGCAATCCAACGTACGAACCACAGCCCGGCTGGTCAGGTACCGACTTTAGGTGCTTGTCCAGTGCCTGCTTGAAGACTGCCAGGGGTCTATTGGTAATCCCCCTTATGTGTGCTGGGAGGCAGTTGAACAGCCTTGGACCCCTGACACTTATTGTGTTGTTTCTTAACGTGCTAGTGACACCCCTGCTTTTCACTTTTGGATAATTTGTACTTCATTATACATCATTGTAGATACTCTACTTCATTATAGATCATTGTAGATACTCTACCTCATTATAGATCACTGTAGATACTCTACTTCATTATAGATCATTGTAGATACTCTACCTCATTATAGATCACTGTAGATACTCTACTTCATTATAGATCATTGTAGATACTCTACCTCATTATAGATCACTGTAGATACTCTACTTCATTATAGATCACTGTAGATATTCTACCTCATTATAGATCACTGTAGATGCTCTACTTCATTATAGATCATTGTAGATATTCTACCTCATTACAGATAATTGTAGATACTCTATTTTATTACAGATAATTGTAGATATTGTACCTCATTATAGATCATTGTAGATACTCTACTTCATTATAGATCATTGTAGATATTCTACCTCATTATAGATCATTGTAGATACTCTACTTCATTATAGATCATTGTAGATATTCTACCTCATTATAGATCACTGTAGATACTCTACTTCATTATAGATATTCTACCTCATTATAGATCGTTGTAGATTACTTCATTACAAATCATCGTGGATACTTGGTAGATACTCTAATACATTGTGGATACCTCATCACAGATACTTCATCACAGATACTTCATCATAGATACCTCATCACAGATACTTCATCATAGATACCTCATCACAGATACTTCATCATAGATACTTCACAGATACCTCATCACAGATACTTCATCACAGATACTTCATCACAGATACTTCATCATAGATACCTCATCACAGATACTTCATCACAGATACTTCACAGATACTTCATCACAGATACTTCATCACAGATACTTCACAGATACTTCACAGATACCTCATCACAGATACTTCATCACAGATACTTCATCACAGATACTTCATCATAGATACCTCATCACAGATACTTCATCACAGATACTTCACAGATACTTCATCACAGATACTTCATCACAGATACTTCACAGATACTTCACAGATACCTCATCACAGATACTTCATCACAGATACTTCATCACAGATACTTCATCATAGATACCTCATCACAGATACTTCATCACAGATACTTCACAGATACTTCACAGATACTTCATCACAGATACTTCATCACAGATACTTCATCACAGATACTTCATCACAGATACTTCATCACAGATACTTCATCACAGATACTTCATCACAGATACTTCACAGATACTTCACAGATACTTCACAGATACTTCATATATTCCATAACCAAAATTCCAGACAGTTTAAAATACTAAGAATTTGTTACTTATTTGATTAGAAGTAATTTATGTATAAGTAAGAAGTGACAGCTTCTTCAGTATTAATAATAATAATAATAATAATAATAATAATAATAATAATAATAATAATAATAATAATAATAATAATAATAATAATAATAATAATTGTTATTGCTGTTAAGAGCAGAAATTAACATGGCCTGGCTATAATAATGCATCATAACTCACACTTTTTTCATAGTTAGCATTAATGGTGGTGTTTGTATCAACAGATAACTAGTTATATTATTACAAGGTGAGGTGTTGATACACATCCCCTCAAGGAAGGTTCCTTGATGCTGGCGAGGGGCTCTTGATCTAAGGAATTGGAACAATGCTCCAATTCCTTGAAATAAGCCTGAATGCCTTCCATTCCCCTAGACACTGTATGACCCCTCTGGGTTTAGTACTCCCTCCATGAATGTAATAATAATAGTAATTTAGCAGACACACACACACAAGGCTTGTTCCTGGGCTAAGGTGTATAAACCACGGTTAGAAACTAACGGAATTGGACCTAACGACACTAATCGACTCCAGGCTGAGAGACTAATTACCTCAAATTCCTGATCTTCATCATTCTTCTTTATAAAGGACTGATGAAGCCAGTGTGGCGAAACGTTTCCTCAATAAAGATACCCAAGTGTTGCACATGTGTCTACTTTACCATCATGACAAGTACTAGACTAGATATGTACTGAGTGTATGTGTGTGTGCTTGCAGGCGCCCTCAATACTCGGGACGTGAGGGTGATATGTACAGTGTTGAAGGTGCTACAGGAACTGGTCATGTCTGCGCCTCTGGTCGGGGAATCCCTTGTTCCCTACTATAGGCAGATTCTTCCCACTCTCAACCTTTTCAAACACAAAAATGGTATGTAGCTTAATATTTATTCTTTAAATTTGAATCAGTGTTAGGGGTTATGTTCATTTATTAGTATATGTTTCCGCAGTAAATTCCGGAGACGAGATTGACTACTCGCAGCAGCGGAGGGAGAACCTGGGGGACCTGATCCAGGAGACGCTGGAGATCCTGGAGAGACATGGAGGCCGCGACGCCTATATTAACATCAAATATATGGTACCAACCTACCAGTCGTGCGTCATGAACTGAAGAAATTACCAGCCAGGTTATTCCATCCAGTTAGTGGAGTTGCAAGTATTATCACTGATAAGCCAATATAACTCCAGCGAAGAACTTCCAACTGGCTAAATGGATTTTGTGCAAGAGTATGTTTATTGTGACGATTTCAGGTTCACTCTTAATAATATTAAGAGTAACTGGTGTAAGAAATGTAATTAATGTAACCGTACGTAGCCTATAATGATTCAATTACATGGAACTTGTGACACGTCTAGGGTGTAGCCCCTGGCTAATATTGTCCACTATGCTGTCACCATTACGGGTTAATTACGTATTCTTATTGTAAAAATATTTGGTGAATATGGTATAAAATACTGACAAGTTGAAGATTATGACACATGTACAACAGTTGGGTATCTTTATTGATGAGATGTTTCGCCTACACAGTAGGCTTCTTCAGTTAAATACAGAGGAAGAAGGTGTAGTAGTGAAATGCAGATGATGTAATCAGTCCATCAAGCTTGGAGTAATAGTATTCGAGGTGATCAGTCCCTCAACCTTGGACTGATTTCAACTGTATTTCACTACTACACCTGCTGCCTCTGTATTTGACTGAAGAAGCCTACTGTGTAGGCGAAACATCTCATCAATAAAGATACCCAAGTGTTGCACATGTGTCTTAATGTGTAATAATAGTGTTCATCCTACTAGTGGTGTGGATGATGTAACATGTTGCGTACACGAATATACTGGAGTGTACCTGGAGAGGGTCTCGAGGGTCAACGCCCCCGCGGCTCGGTCTGAGACCAGGTCTTGTGGTGGATCAGGGTCTGATCAACCAGGCTGTTACTGCTGGTCGCACGCAAACTGACGTACGAACTACAGTCCGGCTGGTCAGGAAATGACTTTAGATGCCTGTCCAATGCCTTCTAGAAGACAGCCAGGGGCCTTGAAGACAGTCAGGGGTCTTGAAGACAGTCAGGGATCTTGAAGACAGCCAGAGGTCTTGAAAACAGCCAGGGGTCTTGAAGACAGCCAGGGGTCTTGAAGACAGCCAGGAGTCTTGAAGACAGCCAGGGGTCTTGAAGACAGCCAGGGAGGCAGTTGAACAGTCTGGGAACCCTGACACTTACCATGTTGTCTCTCAGTGTACGCGTGGCGCCCCTGCTATTCATCAGGGGAATGTTCCATTTCCTGCCGAGTCTTTTGCTTTCATAGGGAGTGATTTTCGTGTGCAGGTTTGGTACTAATCCCTCTAGGATTTTCCAAGTGTATATTATCATGTATCTCTCTCGCCTGCGCTCCAGGGAATACAGATCGAGGGCCTAGCACAGTATTATAACCTAGACATATAACAATATAACACCCTAGGTCTTTTATTTTGTTTTTCTTATTTAGGCATATGATATAATCAATCTACAGTGATATTAAAGGACTTGAGTGGAAATAAGCCAGGCTGGCTTTCTTGGGGGTTATCCTGGGTTAGCCGTAGTAAATATTCCCAATAAAAACTTTAATATATAAGTTAGGTGAAGCATAATGGTTCAGAGAACCGACACATTGATAAATTAGACACATGTACAACTCAGTAAAGATACCCGAGAGTTGCACATGTGTCTAATTTATCAAGTTAGGTGATAAATTAAGTGATATAATCGTACTTCAAAGTTTATCCAAGCTAGAATAAGTTACTGCTGTAGTTTGGGGGTAAGAATGAAAAAAAAAATGTCTGCTATACCAGAAGTCCATAGTAACATACAGTATAACTTACATAAGACAAGACAGAATTTCCATGTAAACCGAAATTTATATTGCTTGTTATGTAGTTGGTGAGGGGCTCTTGATTTAGGGAATTGGATCTGTGCTCCAGTTCCCCGAATTAAGCCTGAATGCCTTCCACATCCCCCCCCCCGGCGCTGTATAATCCTCCGGGTTTAGCGCTTCCCCTTGATTATAATAATAATAATAATAATTCTTGTTATGTATAATATTTTAGCATGATACATGTTGGTACAAAGGAATATAACAACTGGTGTACATACCAAAAACACCTTTATATGCAGAACACTTTGTTCTAACTTAAGATTGATAAAACAATAAGTGTAGTAACTGTATATATGGTAATTATGTGAATTATACTGAATACGAGAACATTTAATATTTATCTTCATTTATATATTTATTACAGCTTAAATATCAATGTTATTTATATGTAAATAAAATTTTAACTGGTAATACATTCACAGGATTTCCCGTCTTATTATCTATCTATCTATCTATCTATCTATGGGTAATAATGGGTAAAACTTGCGATTTTGGCTTAGATAGTAATGCTCTTCTTGCCGAATAAGGCAAGCGAAAATTTGTGTATGCAATAATATTGCAAAAATCATTCTAGACCTAACGAAAAAAATGTTCCATTGTGTTTGTTTATTATTAAATTATTGTAAACTTGTCTAGAATATATTTAACTGGATTAGACTAAATTAAATTGCGCTTGTTATAATAAGGTCAGGTAAGTTTTCTAAAGTTCTTTTGGTACAAAACTGTTAATTTTTACATTAACATAAATTAAAAAATATATATCTTTAAACGCATAAGAGAAAATTTTAGAAATGACTTAATTTTAAATGAGTTCTTGCTGACCAATTTTACCTATTCGGCACGACATATTTAAACAGCAGACGACACCAACAAGATCCAAATACATTGTGTTTACCACTAAAACTTTCACTGATATTCTTTGTAATATATATTATCTTCTGTGATATTGTTGGATTAAATACAAATTCTTATGACGTTATACATTCTTTCATTTTTCTTATGTGCGTGTACTCTCCTAGTTGTGGTTGCAAGGGTCGAATCATAGCTCCTGCACGTGTGTGTGTGTGTGTATGTGTTAATTATAATTTCTCAAGGGTATTTGTCGGTAAGACACTTGGCCTGTTTCGTGTGTGTGTATGTTCATATATATGTGTGTGTGCTCACCTATATGTGGCTGTAAGGATCGAATCTTAGTTCCTAGCCCGGCCTGCCTCTCAACTTGCTGCTGTGTTTTCCATTTTCTCCAATATCGATAGATTCAAATCCATTAGCCTCTCCTGTTAACTCATGACCTTTAACTCTGAAACAAGGTATATACTTATGCACTTTCTCCTGTGTCTTAACATACTTCCTCACGTGTGTATTTCATACTGGTGCTGCGTACTCCAAGATAGGCCTGACATATGTTGGATGAAGTGCCCAGAAAAACTATTTCTTGAGATTCCTGAAGGCCACTCTTAAATTTGGAAGGTGAGCATTGGTTTCAGATGTTATTCAGTTGATGCAAGTCTCTGGCGAAATACTAAGCACTATGCTCGTCCCTACGTCTTTCACTTTGAGTGAGGTCTACAACCTCTGTCTTTTGTTCCTTCTCCCGATCTTCACTACCTTCCAGTCGCTGGGGTTGCATTCAAGCAGCCACTGTCTGACTAGTTGTCCAGTTTGCCCAGATACATTTGCGGCCTCTCCTGTGGAAAATTGCATTGATCTGAATGTAACTAATTATGTACATAACAGTAAATGATAACAAAGATAATTATCATTTATCAATGTTACATAGACAAGTAGGAATTTGGGACACCTAGGTAGCAAAAAATGTCCCCCTTCGGTATCACTGTCATAACCACAAGTTGCTCTGGACCTATTAATTAAATGAAATATACATACACCAGGAATACTGGTAAATATATAAATTTGTGGACTGTATATTAAAAATAATAAATGGTTATATATATACACAATTACACAACAGAAGGAAAATATATCTTAATATTACTCACCAATTTGACTGGAGATTAATGTGTATCATACTCAGAAAACCTCACTCTAACTAAATCTATGAAAATAATGCTGGCCAGAATTATACACAAATCTAGAGAGCTTATCTGAGGTTCCTGGAGCTGTCTTGTCCAGTCGTCTGACATCTCAAGTTATGCAGGAATGCATATCCACCAATTTCGCCTCCTATTTGAGAGGTGTCAGCACAATTTTAACCTCTAGAGCACGAAAAATTCTTCCCCATTCACCAACGTTTCTAATACAAAATCAAAACCAAGATGGCGAGTCCCGTCTGCGCAGACGCAGGCTTTCCGTTTTCTATGAGATAAATATTATTAAATACAGTATGCCCATCTATTTACATATAAATACTGAATTTCTGGAAAATATATACAGTATTTTCCACATCTTTTCCTCCTCTGTTTTATTCTTCTCATTAGTTTTACATCATCAAACAGGGATACATCTGACTCACTCTAATCTGGAACATTATTGACACACAAACCAAAAACAGTACTGGCCCTAATAACGATCCTTGCGGCATCCTAATTATTACACTTTCCCATTGTGAGATCTCTTCCTAGACAATCATTCTTTACCTCCTTGCTCTGAGGTACTCTGATCCACTAGAGTATTTTCTCCTGTCAGTCCTGCTTGTACATCAACTTCTTCTCCTGGTCCAACGTGAGGTACTGTATCAAACACCTTTTTGCAATCTAAGATAATGTAATCCACTCAGCTCTCTCTCATACCTCAGTTTCATTACTTTGTCATAAAATTCCAACTGGTTGATAAGACAATATTTACCATTCTGTTGGGGGGATAAGGGAGGGTGGGAGTGAGTGTCATTAACCTGTACAGGTGTTCTAAGCATTAACACCAGCAGGTGTAGTGAGCTGGCGAGAGTTTGATAGGCAGGTGAGGGGAAGAACACATCAGTAGTATGTTACTTCCTTTTCTATATGATTGTTATATATTGTGAGAGAGAAAATCTAGTCGTGTTTTCGTCATTCCATCAAAGATATTTACACAGAGTGATGAAATCTGTTATCCTGAGTTAGGATGTACAGCTCATCCTGTGTGAAACAAGAGTATGGATAGTATATATCGACAGTCAGTTTTGCAACATTTGGGTATTTTGTATAAACTATGTTTTGCTGGGCGGGACCTTGATGGAGACGTGATGTATACCTGGACAAAACAGTGAATATATAAATATATTTTCATCAGAATACATATAACAAGCTGCTGTTTTGCTTAAGCCTCATTAAAGGGTGTGCGAGTGACTCATGTCAACCACGAATTGCTGATAAATTAGACATATGTGCAACATTTGAGTATCTTAAGTGAGTGTTGGGATTTTCCATGAACTGCCCCTTAACGTGCAGATAATCTAGCTAAAACTGTCGACACAAATATCTCGAGATAACAACTTGGGCACGCCAGTTGCTCATACTAGAGAAATCCACAAGAATTTTTGTTTGCTGTGTTTCCTAATAGTACACTGGCAGTTCTACTTGAAATAGAAGGAGAGCTTCACTTCCTTACTGGATACTTCAGAAGTTGACGAGCTACCATGTTACCTTCCGCCATTAAACTCCCAGCAGGACATCCACATTCCACACTTCAACAGTAGAACTGGCCAGTAATGCTGAATAAAACGTAGACCCAGTCCGCTGGGGCTTGAAAGGATATTAACAGTTATCCTCGGGGCTTGAGGAAGCTTCGTTGGCAAAAAGTTCCTCTTAAGTAAGAATTACCTGTGTGCTGGCTACACGACTGACCTTCTCGACGTGTGTATTCTGACCAGCGTCTCTCATACAATTTTTGATCTATTTCTTACTATTCTAGGTCTTATAACGATGTTATTTTCTCCTAAGATTATTGTATACTTTGTGTAATTACTTAAATCTGTAAAATGTCGAATATTATATTCAAGTGTTTATGTAAGTGGATAAACCATACCCCGGCCGGGATTGAACCCGCGGTCAGAGAGTCTCAAAACTCCAGCCCATCGCGTTAGCCACTAACGCGACGGGCTGGAGTTTTGAGACTGATGCGGGTTCAATCCCGGCCGGGGTATGGTTTGTTGACAATCGTGTCATTACGATTTCGTGAGTCATGTAAGTGGATATATTAAGGGTTACTTATGCTTACATAATGAACGTTTCGTGGAATAAGTTTCCAGTGAGGAAACGTTTCGCCACACAGTGGCTTCATCAGTCCTATGCAAAGAAGAATGGTGAAGATCAGAAGAAGTTTGAGGTAATCAGTGTCTAAGCCTGCGTGTGGCCAGCAGTAACAGTCTGGTTAATCAGGCCCTGCTCTACCCCGCGGCCTGGTCATGGACCGAGTCTCGGAAGCGTTGACCCCTTCATCCCGCGGTCTGTGTGAAAATTTGTGTGGGCTGCCTCCAAGTGAGTCACCTACCCTGGCAAACTCTGTTGACACCGAGCTCTGAGGTGGGTACCTCAGCCTCACAAGTGGCTTATAGGACAGATTTTCACAAATGATTGATGTTGCAAGAAACTCGCCTGCATGCACGTATAAAGGACTAACTTACTTGGTGTTGCAGCATATATCCTGATCTTCAACTTCCCTAAGCTTAGCCTTAGCCCCTCTGGACTTTCCCCCAGAAACCATGTGCAACCAGGAGCCTTAATTCCTGCAATATTCAATTGTTATTCGTGTCCTGCCTGCACCTCAGAAATTCCTATATCCAAGAGGGTATGTATCCCCTAGTACAACTATGCAGACATGGACACTAGCTTCCAGACTGCCTTGAGACACTGGTACTTACTGGGCATGCACTGCCTACTGCACACCGGGCCCACAGATAAAACTCACTCACAATCTCCCCAGACACTGGCCAGAAATCTACGAGATAAAGGAGGTCTTGTCTTAGTGTATGGGCCTGACGGAGGTCATCTACGGTACATCGAGGTGCCTCTACCAGATTTCCCCAGGTCTCAAATGTGAAGACACGTGGGGGGCGCCGTCTGCTGATCACGGCACGTCTTGTCCAGTTGGTGTCTGTCTTAAGAAGAACGAGCTGGTCTCTCTTCCAGACCCTCGTCTCTTCATTCAAACTAGGGCTGCCAGTTCTCCCTAGCTAACTTATCCTAGTGTTTGCCTACATTATCGGCCTATTACTACCTATGTTAAGGTCTTAGGTCTACATTATTATTATCTACAGTTGCCTTAGTAAACCTAATATTAGTGTACTAACAGTAAAACTACCTACTCCTTCCCTGAAGGGTAAATCTATAAATTAAATAAATGCCTACCAACAATCCACGCCAAAATAGAGAGAATGCTGTTTGTTTGGGAGGGTTTAGGGGCCAGCCAGCTCAGCCATCCCATTATGGCCATGCTGGATCTGTCCTGTGGAACTTTAGGGACCAAATAAATTTCCACAGTCTGGTGGGCAACGTTTTAGCTTCACATACTGAGTGTCCGTGGTTCGATCCCCGGAAAGGGTGAAAACACTAGGCGCGTTTCCTTACACCTGTTGTTCCCGTTCATCCAGCAAGTAAGATAACCGAGATTTTCAACAACATGTTGAAAATCGCGGTCGTGTTGGCTATGCCCGTGATGAAAAGAGAAATTGTTATGTAACCCAGGGGCACCAGGAGAAACACGTCTGATGATTGTACTTATGCGTACCTGTACCTAAATACAGTTGCACAAATTATCATACATAGTAACATATGTGTAAATTACCTATGATAACCCCTAGGAAAGTCATGGTGATTTATTCCCTTTATTCTGTGTTGCACTTAATCAGAAGAGGTTTGCAAATGGCTGGAGGTCCTAACTGCAGTCCAGTGTACGAACTACAGCCAGGCTGGTCAGGTACTGACTGTCCACCTCCTTCTTGAAGACAGCCAAGGGGATTTATTGCCAATAACCCTTATGTATGCTGGGAGGTAATTGAACAGTCTTGGGCCCCTCACACTTATTGTGTTGCTTCTTAGTGTACTCGTGGCAAAATATTTGTTATTGCAACTGTGTTATGTATACAGTGCTCGGAATGACTATGTTGAGACTTCTAAGGGACATTTAGATTTACCAGAGGAAATTTTGTCTCTTTTAAAATTTCCTCGCAGATTTAAGCACCATATTTTCCCCAGACTTATCTAGTTTACCTGGAGTTTACTGGAGATGAGTTACCGTGGGTAATAAACGCCCACCTCAGTTTGATCATTGACCAGTGCTCCTGGTGGAATCAGAGACTTATCAACCAGGTCTTGCTGCTTGCTGCACGCAACCAATCGAGCCACAGCCCGGCTGATCGAATGACTTTAGGTGCTTCCAGTGCACTTGAAGAACTGCCCAGGGTGTTGTAATCCCCCTATTTGCTGGAGCAGTTGAACAGTTCGGGCCTGACTTATTGTATGGTACCTCTTAAAGTGCTATGACCCTTGCTTTTCATTGGGGGATGTGCTCGTCTGCCAAGTCTTTGCTTTGTAGTGACTGATTTTCGTGTGCAAGTTCGGTCTATCCTCTAGGATTTTCCAGGTGTATATAATCATGTATTCTCTCTGCGTTCAGGGAATAAGTTTAGGACCCCAAGCGCTCCCAATAATGAGGTTATTATCTCCGTATGACGCCGTGAAAGTTTCCTTAACATTTTAGTCGCAATTTCACTGCTTGAAAGGTGCTGTTAGTGTGCCGCAATTTCCCCTAGATTACATGTGACCGAAGAGTGTCATCATGGGCTTGGCCTCCCTAGTTTTGAAGGTTCTCATTATCCATCCTGTCATTTTTCTAGCAGATGCGATTGATACAATGTTATGGTCCTTGAAGGTGAGATCCTCCGACATGATCACTCCCAGTCTATGCATATTTTGCATCGACTAAATGAATGAACCTTTTATAATAAAATTACAACTCAGTTATGATCATTTTTTTAGTGGTAAGTGTAAAATATGAAATTATTAACATTACTTCCTTGTGATGTAAAAATGCCCAGAGGGTCTGATAAATACTCAGTGTGACCTCAGTAAATCAAGAACCCCAGTGGAAATAAATAACCTTGTCTGACTTTATGGGTTATCTTAGGTAATTTACACTATATATGGTAATTGTATTTATGTGTATCTGTGCCTAAATAAACTTACTTTTGTAACCCTGTTTTTTTTTTTTCCTGCAGAGCTCACTGGGTGAGCATGAAGTTCTCAAGAAAGTAGACTCAGCGGTACACCTTAACAGAGCTTAATAAGGCGTAAGCTCTGGTTGTCCTTAACAACTTTAACAACAATAATATGGTGGATGACTTGTGTTAGTCTCCGGCTCCTCTTCCTCCTCCTCCTCGACGGCGTATGCTGTCACTGGCATTAAAAACTCCACGAGAAGAAGGAAGCTCCTCCTCCTGTTACACTACATGATATTGGTGCCGCCACGTGGACGCTGCCTGGCACTCCCACAGTCTCTCTCACTGACACTCTTGCCAGGCTCGTCTGTGAGTACACCAGCTGTGAGGTGGTGGTGCTGAGGATGGTGTGGTGGTGCTGAGGATGGTGTGGTGGTGCTGAGGATGGTGCGGTGGTGCTGAGGATGGTGTGTGGTGTGGGATGGTGGGTGAGGTGTGCGGTGGGGTGGGGAGGATGGTGTGGTGGTGCTGGGTGGTTGCTGAGGATGGTGTGGTGGTGCTGAGGATGGTGTGGTGGTGCTGAGGATGGTGTGGTGGTGCTGAGGATGGTGTGGTGGTGCTGAGGATGGTGTGGTGGTGCTGAGGATGGTGTGGTGGTGCTGAGGATGGGGTGTGTGGTGGTGCTGAGGATGGTGTGTGGTGTGTGCTGTGGTGGCGGTGTGGTGGTGCTGAGGATGGTGTGGTGCTGAGGGTGGTGGAGTGGTGGTGCTGAGGATGTGTGGTGGTGTGAGGTGTGGTGCTGAGGATGCTGTGGTGGTGCTGAGGATGTGATGTGTGAGTGGTGGTGTGCTGAGGATGGTGTGGTGCTGAGGATGGTGCGAGGTGGTGGTGCTGAGGATGCTGTGTGGTGGTGCTGGAGGATGCTCTGGTGGTACTGAAGATGCTGTGGTGGTGCTGAGGAGTGTGTGAGGTGGTGTGTGCTGAGGATGGTGTGGTGGTGCTGAGGATGGTGTGGGTGTGCTGAGGATGTGTGGTGCGGAGGATGGTGTGGTGGTGCTGAGGATGGTGTGTGTGGTGCTGAGGATGGTGTGGGTGGTGCTGAGGATGGTGTGGTGGTGCTGAGGATGGTGTGGTGGTGCTGAGGATGGTGTGGTGGTGCTGAGGATGCGTGCGAGGTGGTGGTGCTGAGGATGGTGTGGTGGTGCTGAGGATGTGTGGTGGTGCTGAGGATGGTGTGGTGGTGCTGAGGATGCTGTAGGTGGTGCTGAGGATGGTGTGGTGGTGCTGAGGATGGTGTGGGTGGTGCTGAGGATGGTGTGCGAGGATGGTGGCTGGATGTGTGAGGATGTGGGTGGTGCTGAGGATGCTGTGAGGTGGTGGTGCTGAGGATGGTGTGGTGGTGCTGAGGATGGTGTGGTGGTGCTGAGGATGGTGTGGTGGTGCTGAGGATGGTGTGGTGGTGCTGAGGATGGTGTGGTGGTGCTGAGGATGGTGTGGTGGTGCTGAGGATGTGTGGTGGTGCTGAGGATGCTGTGAGGTTGGTGCTGAGGATGTGTGAGGTGGGGTGCTGAGGATGGTGTGAGGTGTGTGGTGCTGAGGATGGTGTGGTGGTGCTGAGGATGGTGTGGGGTGCTGAGGATGTGTGAGTGGTGGTGCTGAGGATGGTGTGGGTGGAGGCTGAGGTGTGGTGTAAGATGTGGTGTACTGAGGATGTGTGAGGTGTAGGTGTGAGGTGTGTAGAGGTGTGCTGAGGATGCTGTAGGTGAGTGCTGAGGATGTGTGAGTTGGTGGTGCTGAATGTGGGATGTGCTGAGGATGTGAGGATCTAGAGGTTGATGGCAATAGGTGTGATGAATCCGAACGTGACTGGACACAGAGGTTGTAGGAAACATATAGTTTGACTGAACATCGTTAGTTGACACCCGAAGTTGAAGTGATACCCAGTAAAGTTGAACACTCTATTCATTGTGTATTGAATGTGTCAGTGGACCCACCACAGTTGACTGACACCCACACAGTTGACTGACACCCAACACAGTTGACTGACACCCACCACAGTTGACTGACACCCAACACAGTTGACTGACACCCACCACAGTTGACTGACACCCACCACAGTTGACTGACACCCAACACAGTTGACACTGAACACCCACACAGTTGACTGACACCCACCACATGACTGAACCCACCACAGTTGACTGAACACCCAACACAGTTGACTGAACACACACCACATGTTGACTGGCACCCACAACAGTTGACTGACCCACCACGTTGACATGAACCCACACAGTTGATGGCACCCACCACAGTTTGACACATAACACCACCAGTTGACTGACCCAGACACCTAATACAGTTGTGACACTCAGATATTAATACAGTGATATGGATAATTGTTCAGAAAGTCTGACAAAAACCAAATTGTATGAAAACTGAAGCAACATTTCTCATAAAAATTAATGTTAATCTAATTAATCCATTCCAGACACCCAAAAAATATTAACAAAAATACATTTTATAGAGAATAACTATAGTTTTACATACAGAAAACAATGAGAAATAAATATAAATGACTAATGAAATGGATAAATTTGGCATATAGAAGGTGGTGAGGAGGGGAGAGGGAGGAAGAGAGGTAATTGTTTGGAAGAGAATCCTCCATAAGGACTTCAGGTATCAAGGCCCTGTCCAGGGTTACTTCCCTTCTTTGTCTTTTACTGGCACTAGGACCAGCTTGAGAGTCATTGGACCCCTGGCATCTTTAAGATCTGCCTAAAATGGGACAAGGCATTGTCATTGAACATGTTCCAGACATGGCTTGCAACAGCTCTTCTAGAGTGATATTTCTCCACAAAACTTTGCAGCTCATTCCACTTTGCACACATGCCCTTAGTCACTGAAGAAGGCACATTCTCACAATGCTCACTCAACGAGAAACAAAGCCAGACTGAGTCAGAATGCGTGGGATGCTTTGTGTGGGTGTGGGCAGGCGGATGCGTTTGGTACAGCAGACCATTGTCAGCTCTACGAAAACTGAGCGGATGTACGAAAACTGGGACAAAATTTCGACAAAAAAAGTCCTTGAAAACCAAATCCTACAAAAAACCAGGGCATACGAAAACCGAGGTTCCACTGTAATGTTAGGTGAACAGGGACAGCAGGTGTATGGAAACATACCCAACGTTTCCACCTAAGCCAGGTGGTTGTTATGCTGGGGGAAAGGTGTGAGGTAGTAGTGGTGGTGGTTATGCTGGGGGAGAGGTGTGAGGTAGTAGTGGTGGTTGTTATGTTGGGGGAGTGGGTATGCTGAGGAGAGGTGTTAGGCAGTAGTGGTGGTGGTTATGCTGGGGGAGAGGTGTTAGGTAGTAGTGGTCGTGGTTATGCTGGCAGAGAAGTGTTAGGTAGTAGTGGTGGTGGTGGTTATGCTGGGGAGAGGTGGTAGGTAGTAGTGGTGGTGGTTATGCTGGGGAAGAGTGAGTTAGTAGTTGTAGTGGTTATGCTGAGGGAGAAGTGTGAGGTAGTGGTGGTGGTTATGCTGGGGGAGAGGTGTTAGTAGTGGTGGTGGTTATGCTGGGGGAGAAATGTGAGGTAGTAGTGGTGGTGGTTATGCTGGGGGAGAAGTGTGAGGTAGTAGTGGTGGTGGTTATGCTGGGGGAGAAGTGTGAGGTAGTAGTGGTGGTGGTTATGCTGGGGGAGAAGTGTGAGGTTAGTAGTGGTGGTGGTTATGCTGGGGGAGAAGTGTGAGGTAGTAGTGGTGGTGGTTATGCTGGGGGAGAAGTGTGAGGTAGTAGTGGTGGTGGTTATGCTGGGGGAGAGAGTGTGAGGTGGTAGTGGTGGTGGTTATGCTGGGGGAGAAGTGTGAGGTAGTAGTGGTGGTGGTTATGCTGGGGGAGAAGTGTGAGGTAGTAGTGGTGGTGGTTATGCTGGGGGAGAAGTGTGAGGTAGTAGTAGTTTGTGGTGATGCTGGGTAGAAGTGTGAGGTAGTAGTGGGGTGGTTATGCTGGGGGAGATTGTGAGGTAGTAGTGGTGGTGGTTATGCTGGGGGAGAAGTGTGAGGTAGTAGTGGTGGTGGTTATGCTGGGGGAGAAGTGTGAGGTAGTAGTGGTGGTGGTTATGCTGGGGGAGAAGTGTGAGGTGGTAGTGGTGGTGGTTATGCTGGGGGAGAAGTGTGAGGTAGTAGTGGTGGTGGTTATGCTGGGGGAGAAGTGTGAGGTAGTAGTGGTGGTGGTTATGCTGGGGGAGAAGTGTGAGGTAGTAGTAGTTTGTGGTGATGCTGGGTAGAAGTGTGAGGTAGTAGTTGGGGGTGGTTATGCTGGGGGAGAATTGTGAGGTAGTAGTGGTGGTGGTTATGCTGGGGGAGAAGTGTGAGGTAGTAGTGGTGGTGGTTATGCTGGGGGAGAAGTGTGAGGTAGTAGTGGTGGTGGTTATGCTGGGGAGAAGTGTGAGGTGGTAGTTGGGGTGGTTATGCTGGGGGAGAAGTGTGAGGTAGTAGTGGTGGTGGTTATGCTGGGGGAGAAGTGTGAGGTAGTAGTGGTGGTGGTTATGCTGGGGGAGAAGTGTGAGGTAGTAGTGTTTGTGGTTATGCTGGGTAGAAGTGTGAGGTAGTAGTTGGGGTGGTTATGCTGGGGGAGAATGTGAGGTAGTAGTGGTGGTGGTTATGCTGAGAAGTGTGAGGTAGTAGTGGGGTGGTTATGCTGGGGAGAAGTGTGAGGTAGTAGTGGTGGTGGTTATGCTGGTAAATGTTGAGGTAGTGTTGGTGTGGTTATGCTGGGAGAATTGTAGTAGTATGGTGGGAGTTATGCTGGGTAGAAGTGTGAGGTAGTAGTTGGGGTGGTTTTGCTGGGAAAGTGTGATATAGTGGTGGTGTTTGCTGAGTAGAAGTGTGAAGTATTGGGGTGGTTATGCTAGAATGTTGTGACAGATAAGTGTCTGGTTTGCTTAAATGAGACTGTGATGAAGATGTTTTTCCACTAGGTGATTATGATTGTTTGTGTTCAGTCTGACTATAACTTTAAACTATGCTGAATGCCATGAGTTATGTTTGAGGCATAGTTATCACTGTTTTTGTGTATTAGTTATAATCATATTCTAGAGATATGATGACAGATCTATATATATAAATTCAATTTAGTTTAAAAAAACATGATCTCTGCTTAAAACTGTAAGAATTAGTCTCTTCTATGCTTTTGTTATCGTTTATATTAGTACGCTGAATAATGCCATGACTTCACTCTTATGGTAACCGCAGTACGTGTATTCACTGGTTGGTTTGGTTGTATCTAACATTTTGTCCTGCAGATAATAAGTATCCCTGACTGTTAATACAGATCAACTGATAATTGTAATTTATCCACAGTGGGATT